GAAATTTGATTCGGTTCGCGACCAATTCGGTTCGTGACCAGAATCGTGGAACAAATTAAGTTCGTGAACCGAGGTACCACTGTAGTGTGTTAGCACCTGTACAGTTTACCCCTGGACAGATTTAAAACTGGCCTGCATCCAGAATGTGGGTCCATCTGGGATAGAGGGAAGGGTGACCATCCACACAAAAAAAGTGCAGGGCACACAGATCTCATTTGGTCTTGCCTGTTTGCTGATTCCTTGCCCTCTTGGTTTCCCAGGGTCCATCTGAACAAGGTTGGATGCATACCTAATTCTTCGGTGCAGGTGACTCTTCCATCCTGCTTCTATTAGGCTAGCGTTACCGTGAAGAGTTCAATAGCTTCACATGGGTGAATTTCAACATGCTATGCTGTACCATCTGTGAATGGCAAAGCCCTTGGGATGACAATACTCTTTTCAGGCTGATTAATCTATCCAGTGCCCAGAGCTGACTGGAACATCAACCTAATTCTTCTAAATGCTAAAAGGAGAAAAATTCTCACACTTCATATGAAACAGCGTAACTCAAAAAGCACAACAAAAGCCAGAAAGGTGGTGGTGTGACTTATAAGAAAGTGCTTCTCAAGAGAAACAGAAGAAACTCCATGGCAAAGAGCAACAGCACTCTCATGTGCTTTAATATATGAGTCTCTACTTATTCAAGATACCTTGGAAAGTGTCATTCAGTACCAAAACAAGCACATTTCCCCCCTCTGTCTTCTTGGGAGAACCAGTTTATCATCTTTAATTCATGAAAAGCTACCTCAGATACAAGGCAGGAAAACAGATGCTGGAGTGCTGGTGCAAAAGTGTCAACACGATAGATGCTTCAATTGGCAGGACTGCCTCTTGTTCAGGCTGCTGGCGCAACTTCAGTATTACTGTCTAGTGGACATACTCCTGAAGTACAGATCACCAAAGATGTGAAGAGTTTGGGCCGACTTACCTTTTGGATGCCATGGATCTGTAAACTCGTATTTCCCCACACCAACAGTCCGTAGCATCTGCACCCCATTTGTGTTGTCCTGATTGCCCGTCGGGTTAGGAGGAAGCTGGGGGGCGGCCTGCCCATTGGTAGCTGGAACACTATTAGGTAGGGCAGCTGAAGGCAAAGCAGGTGGCGGCGGAGGCAGCATAGGACAAGTCATGTGACCATTCCCTACTGCACCATGGCCTGGGTGAGTCACCTGACCAACCCCAGTCATAGAAGACATAGTAATGGGTTGACTGTTTGTGTACAAAGGCTGGCTTTGCAGATTCACAACCATGTTACTGAGAGGCCGTGAAGGCTGCTGCGGAAGCTGGTAATGAGCTGGCATTAATGGAAGCTGGGGGGTAACATGTGGAGGGAGTGAGGGTGTGACTCCAATGACAGGGGCTTGGACGTTGACTGCTGGGCTGAAGGTCGGTGGCTGATTCATCCCATAAGAATGAGTTATAAGAGTTGGTTGGCTACCTGCTGCCACTGTTGTAACCCATGGAGCTGTACCTGGAAAAAGGAAAGCTAGCAATAAGAACAATTTTTGCAAAACATCAGTCCCCAAAACAGCTCCCTCTGTAAATGTGATTCTGTTGAGTCCGTCCCTTCTCTCTTATAATGAGGGGGATGGATTGACATCAATCCAAACTGGTAAGTGTAAAGCAGTAAATGCTATAATATGGCAGGAAGGCACAGATGTTAAAAATACTGATCGATGTGCAATACAGTATGTTTACAGTTTTCTGCATTTTTAGCATTATGCAGTTTAAATATATGCTTCCAAGAAAATTAACCTCTTTCTCCAATGTGTTTTCATGGCTCCCTGACAAACACTCAGCGCGTATAATAACCATGTTCCAGCCACTACAAAGATTGTAATTAGGTGCCTGGTATAGCTATACAATGTATGATATGTGTCAGGAAGCTGGAAAACATTACAGGTGGCTCTGGACATAAAAAGAGACTTTATTTATTTAACACATTTAGAGACCACCACAAGCCCAAAGGACTCCTAAAGCATATGCCAGTGGGACTATTTTTGGGGGGGGGGGGGCAGAATAAACAGGGACAGAGAGGGGAAAAGAAAGAACTTTAACAAACTTGCAGCATGTAATACTTTTGTATTAGCCATATCATAGGAGTAACCTGAAGAGGTCTTTATAACTAGAAAGAAAATCCAACTCTAGTATTTAAAAAAGGACTCATGATAAAGCCCTATTCAAAGTGGAATTGGAAAGAACACACTGAATTTGTTTTGAACAATTTTCTCCAGCAGAACTGCAAATAAGGCAGACAATATACCTGGGTTTTCAGTCTCCCTCATCTGTTTAGATGGTGGCTCATCGGTATCCCAGGGAGTAGACTGATTGATGGGTGTCTGTCCCCACCTTACACTGGTTGCTAATCCTTGCGGCTGATTATCTGTCTTGGAAATGGAAAGTGTCTGCCAGAGAATGAGACAAAACATATCAAATTTAGACATATATACATAGAATCCTTATGGTTCTTTGCAAGTTTTAGCAGAAAGTTTTGTACTGCATTTAACTAAGGCAACATTAGACAGAGTGAGCTGACTATAATTTTTATTGTTTCGAATGATTAATCCAACAATTGTTACCTTAAAGTAGCTGTAAAAAGAACTCTTCTACTTCCAATCTAATTACCTCCCAGGACAATCAATTTGTACAACCATAGAATTTCTGCAAAGTTACTATCAATGTGCAAGACAATTCATCCCTAATACCATTTGCTAGCACATCACAGTTTGTTATCAGACTTTATCCAAAGAAGAATTTTTGATATTTTGGGGGCATGATTTATGCTGGGATCAATTCCGCATGTCCCTATTCCAATAATGAAAAAGCAAAAGTCACTTGGGATAATGTTAGAGAGGCCTTATTGTATAATAATCCCTAAAACTGAACTAACAGGAAGACAGTATAAGACTCAGTTGCAACAAATTTGTACTGGCAATTTTTCAGGGTATTAAAAGAAATGTAAAGTGCTGAAAAGAGCCGGGTTCCCTAACCATAAACTGTGATACAAGCAAAAGGACGGCTTTATATAAATATCCACCAAAGAATAAATGCTTAATTTGATAACCATGGAGTTTCCCAGTTTCTCCTTATGCCTTTGCCAGAGAAAGGAATCAGGCTTTCAGCACTGTATGCCTCCCTGCATAAATCCATCAGTAGAGCACAGCCCTTCTTTATCACCACATGGATATGACTAGACAGGTCCCAACAGGAAAAAAAAAGTTGTCCCAAAATACGTGTGTGCTAATTTATATGTATTTGGGGAGAAAATATCACATTGGCTAGATTAAACAGAATATTCTGCATCAGTAAACGGATTCTTCTTTTGTTTTGCCTCCCACCAAAACATGGTTCGCAAATCCTGGTTCTTTAATAGGTAGGTTTATACATACTCATAGAACCTGTCAGAATGCAACGCACTCCCAAACTAGTATTGATTCAGTTATAAAGAAGCCACAGATTTTAATTCACAGTACCTAATAAAGATGGGATACAATGCAGGAAATCAAAAATGGAGAAGAAATAAGCCAGTAAAGTTTCTGATTATTTGTTAAATGTTTAATCTTAAAAAAAAACAAAAAACTCCAGACTTATTTTTCTGTTAAACCAATTGCTGTTTTGGAATGCTACACTTCAGTGGCCCTGAGTATATAAATTATTGCTTAGGAAATTCAAAACCATGGTAAAGGGAACATTGTGTCTTTGAAAGAACACAGGAGCATTTATTTTAGCTTTAATTATCTGTTATGTTCATTGGCCACTGTAAAGAGATGGGCTTTCTAAAATGTTCTACAGACATCACAGGAACTAATTGCATTATGCTATACTTTTCTTTTTAGCTTTCATGTCACACGCTTATTTGGATTAAATAAGGAACACATGAAAGAGGTAAATTGCTTGAAACACACTTTCAGGTATGCATTTCAAAAGGAAAGAAAAGAGAGGCCAAATGTCTACTTGCTTGAATAGGCAACCTCTAAGAGGCTTTGTGGCTCTGATACTTCAAAAGCATATACTTTAGGAAGAGACAGAAAGGAAAGGTATTAAAAATGAAGATGTCCAATGGCACCATTTTGTTTATTTACTTATAATATTTCTAATCCTGCCTTTCAATCAATAGTTGCACACCTTTCAGGAAAAAAAAAGTTTTAACAATATACACATATACACGCTCTTGAAAATCAGTCATTAATTATTAGAGCAGAGCTACACAATTCTTCCGACCAAAGCAACAGGAGGAAGCTTAAAGAAGCCTGTCTTCTCTCTGGGAAGAGAGTTTCACCAGCTGAGGGTCATCACCAAGAAAGCCCCCAAACTTGGGCCCTTGAGAAAAAGGAGTTATAAAATGAAATAATAAACTGATTCACTTTTGATGGTGAGACCTAGACTATTTCCTCATGTGATGAATATGGTGGGTGGCCTGAGTTATACAATTATTTTTAAAATAATGGAAAGTCAGTAGATGGCCTTTGGAATATCCTAATATTCCAAAGGCCAATGGCCCCAATCTAATTAGGGCTTGAAACATAAGAACTGGAGTCTTATGAACTGAATTGAGCCCAGATGCTAATTGGCATACAATGTTAATGTAACACATTAGCATTTTGGCTAAAATAGTCTGCCAAATCTGTCATTTCTTCCAAAAGGAGCCACAAGTAGCATATTGTAGTCATCTAGTTCAGAGATCATGTAAGTATGGTAATCATCATCTATTTATTTACAACCTGCTTTTCCATGGTAGCCACACTCAAAGTGTCTTACTAGGTATCTTTTAACCTAACACATTTCAAGATAATGCATTTGAAAGCTTGTAATTATCACGCAGCTATCAATAAGTATACATTAACTTCAAATTGTGGACGAGTATGGATGGAATGTAAATAGTAGACCTATATAGCCAGCATAAAACATATATACATAA